GGTTTGAGTTTTCATCAGCAATCTTTCACCCTAACGTAACAATTGGAGTATTGCATGACAAAATGATATCTCCAATGTTTTTCCTCTCAAATATTGAACGGTTTACTGTTGTGAGGCAAGTCAACATACTCACTAAGTTAGAAAGCTGAGTGGCAATGAGAACTCAAACTCATCTAAAATACGATTAAAGTCTTTACAATCCGGTGATCATAGTATTCAAGATTATATTAAACTTTATTCTGCTTTAGAAGAACCTCAAGGATATACCTTAGTAAGAATAAATGAAAATAATTTTTTTAGATTTTTCTAAAGTCCGTAATTTTTTATATTTCTATATTTCGATTTAATCATTTCATATTTCAACTGGTTTTTATTTAAACTTGTACAAATTTAACATAATTTAATTTTTATTCTCAAAAATTCGTTTCTATTTTTTTAAATTATTTTGTAATGCAACTTGATGCTACATAAATATTTATTCTAATTATTTTTCCTTTTTCTTTTTCATTTCAGCTGGAAAAAGATTTTGAAAAATTGTATCCTGAAGCACATATGAAAATGTATGCACAATGGGCCAAATTGTCAGCATTCATAGAACATAAAGTGGGTAAAATAGATCCAAAATTTAAAACACATTCTAATCCAGGTATAAATAAATATATACAAAATATCTCACAGTAATTTCTTATTAAATTAATTAATGCAATACAAAGTAGACATTAAAAATTAATGTTTTGTTACAGATAAAAAAATAGTCCAACTTTTGTCAAAATTACCTTCTCTTTTTCCTGTATATACAGCAATTGTCGGAAAAGGAAAAAGCTACAATTGGCGGCCATCGTTATGCGAAAGACGAGAATTATTTCTATGGCGAATTGAGGTATAAATTTGTCACTATTTTTTTATGCTCCTAATGAAAATTTTTTTATAAATTCTTCATATTACTTTTAAGAAATTTTATATAAATTTTCAAATTCTTTAGAATTTTCATATAATTTTCTTATACAATTTTTCACATTTTTAAAATTGGAACATTTCAAAAGTACTGTAAAAGTCTACAACTTTTCTAAAATTTTTTATATGTGAATTCTAAAACATTTTAAGATCTCAAATATTTTTCGTTTTAGACGTATGGCGACTTAAATACCAAAATTAATGAAAGAAGAGAGAAGTTACATCATTTCAAATTAACGTTGCAACCACAGGCTGTCATCATAGGATCTTCAGAAACTGATATAAAACATAGTATAGTAATCGTTGATAAAATACATTATGAAGTAGAATCACCACTAAAGGCTATTGATATAGCCTTTAAATGTATCCATAGCCTACATGCTGAATATCCTAAGGAAAGTGAACAAGTTTATCTTTTTCTACAAACTGGTATTTATGGTATTACTTCCAAATACAACAAAAAATTTAGCGCTGTTAGTACTTTAATAAAAGAATATAAAAATTTTTCTTTATAAAAGCAGCGTTTCTTGAAAAATTATTATTTGTCTTTTGTGTTTATTATAAAATATAAAAAAATATGTTCTGTATTACATTCTCATTAAATATAAATAGAAATATCAACGTGAATAGTTGGAAATTTTTATATAATTGACGTTTTTTATATAATTGATGTCCATTTTTTCGTGAAAAAAGGAATTGATGTTTTCTTTATACTTTGTTAACTCTTGCGAGCATTAAAATTTGTTCTTTTTTAAATTTATTTTATTGAAAGTTTATGTAACTTTTTAATATATTCTTTTATATATTGTACTTATATATATTGTAGTTTCAAAATGCCGATTTGCTTTATATGTAAAGATGAACTCTTGAACATTACAATTTTACGTATACATTTTGAATTTCGACATAGAGAAATTCAATATTATGAATGTGTCGAAACTGGTTGTCAGAATAGAAAATTTGATACTTTTAGATCATTACAAAGACATTTCAACTTATATCATAATGTTCAAGAGCCACAAAAATCTATAAATCACAAAAAAAGAAGACTAGAAAGTAATGACCAAGAGATTATATGCATAACGTTTATATTCGTAATGATAATTCTTTTGAAACTTCTAATTTCGAAAATCCATTGATTCACAGTAACTTTGATATACAAAATCATACAACCGATAAAGTTGCTTCTTTCTTTGCAAGGCTTTCATCAAATTACGTCCTTTCACGAAAACATGTTCAAAATTTATATCAAGAAATTCAAGAACTTTTTTTTAATGACTGTCTTGGAAAAATTGAATATTGTTTAAATACTATCTCAACGTCAGACAATAATACAACTGCTATAAGTGATATTCAAACAATTTGTAAAGATTATAAAGATTCTTTCGGTTTTATGTCAACGGAGCATTGTAGAATAAAGTATTTTACAAAAAGTGAACAATATGTGGCTCCACAATCATATATAATTGGACGTAACTTTGAACAACGTACTAATAAGACTGGACAATTTATTTCTTTAAGACAAATGTTACAACTTTTTTTCAAAATTCCTCATGCTTTAGATGATATACTCTCATATATAAATTCCTTAAAAAATAATACAGATCAAATATGTAGTTACGTACAAACTGATATGTGGAAAAACAAGTTGTCACTTTATAAATCAAACGACATAGTTTTACCTTTAATGTTTTATTTTGATGACTTTGAACCAAATAATCCACTTGGTCCAAAATCAGGTAAACTCGGTGTAGTCTATGTAACATTACTTTGCCTTCCACCTGAATGTCAGTTTAATTCAGATAATATCTTTCTTACATTAATTTTTGAAAGTATTAATAGAAAAATATATGGTAATAAAAAAACTTTTGTTCCTCTTATTGATGAACTTAATCATTTAGCAAGCGAAGGAATTTTTATTACAACTAATAATGGAGAAATAAAAAAAGTATATTTTACTACTGAATTTTGTACTGGTGATAATTTAGGGCTTAATTCTATTTTTGGTTTTGTAGAAAGTTTTAATGCTCATTATTATTGTAGAATTTGTAGAAATAAAAAACAAAATATGCAAATGCTATGTAAAGACGATGTATTATATCGGAGAAATCCAGAAAATTATGAAGAAGATATTTTTACAAACAGTGAAGCTTTAACAGGTATAAAAGAAAGAAGCATTTTTAATAAACTAATAAATTTTCATGTAACAGTCAATTCTGCTTTAGATTCGATGCATGATCTTGCTGAAGGAATTTGTCATTATGATATGTGTTATATAATTAAACATTGCATAGAATGTAATTATTTTACACTCGATCAATTAAATAGTTGAATGAATATATTTAATTATGGATCTATTGATAAATCATCTAAACCTCCTTTAATCTTACAACACCATTTGAATAATTTAACATTAAAAATGAGTGCTACTCAAACATTGTGTTTTGTAAAATATTTTGGTCTTTTAATAGGTGATTTAGTTCCTGATAATGATTCCTTTTGGCTATTATATAAACTTTTAAGAGAAATCATTGAGGTGGTGATTGCCAAAAGTAATCATATAAACCATTCGAATATTTTACGAGTACTTGTTAATGAACATCATAAATTGTATTTACAAATAACAAATGACAATTTGAAACCGAAGTATCACGAACTTATTCACTATCCTCACTTTATGACAAATGTAGGGCCCGTGAGTCAGTTTTCATGTTACAAATTTGAGGCCAAACAGAAATATTTGAAAAAATCAGCTTATATAATCTCATGTAGGAAAAATACAGCTTATTCAGTTGCTGTAAAGCATCAATTGCATATGTGCTATAGATTCATAAATTCATCTTCCATTTTTCCTAGTTTGATAATTGGTCCTAAAAAAATTATCGATAAATATAAAGAAACAAGAATTATAGTTTTATTACCCGATAATATAAAAAATAATTTTATAACATGTAACTGGATTGAATATAAGGGAACTCGTTTCCACGAAAATCTAGTTGTTATGATTGATGAAAATGAATCCGGTCCATTATTTGGTTCAATTGATGCTATAATTGTCAGTCAAAATATTGTGATTTTTCATTGTGATATCTTGACAACTATAGGATTTAATGAACACATTCGAGCTTATGAAGTAAGATTTTCTGAGATAAAAACAAATATAAATATCGAGGATCTTAGCGATCCCCTTCCAATAAGTCTACATAAAAATATCCATAATGAAA